ACGTATAAATGAAAAGCTTTTTCTAAAGTTAAAATATTTACATTATTCCAATTCCGGAGCTTAAAAATTCGTTCGAAAAAAATTTTGTAAGTCTCAATCCTTTGCTAATTTCCATAACAAGTATTCATGTCTATCCATATTCATTATTTTGGCAAATTATGACCGCTCACTTTCGAACTCCACTGTCAAAAGATACCCCAGTATAATTATTCGAACATTCTTAAGGTTCATTTGTATAGATTTTCAACCACTTAGCCCGCCTCAAATGATGCTGCCGCCCAAAAATATTTTCCTAATCACCTAAATGTCAAGAAACTAACAAATTATTTGGTTGTTGTTATTTCTTCTTCGTTGTTTTTAAAGTTCAGACGAAGACGTAAAGGGTGGCATGGCACAATATTCGTTAAGTGAAAGAAGAACTCATACATCCGCCCCAAAAGCTTCGGCGGACAGGTAGTAAAAAATATATAACATGACGACGAAAACAACACTATTTGCAGAAGCAACAACAACAACTATGAGGGAACTGCTCGGAGACCGGTAAAATGCTAAACATGAGGAACATTTTGTTTATGTTGCTATCAGGCGGCTATTTCAGAGAAATCAAAGTTTGCTTCGCATCCCCGCACTTGGGGTTTTAGGAGAGCGTATGTTTTTCGAAAGTTTCTTGACACTGTCCGACAATGGCCGACGCAGTTTAATGTGAGGGAGATCAGTTATGTTGTTGGATCTACAGAAATTCGCCACATCATTCAGACAATTTTCTCGAGAAGAAAATAATAACAACAACACAATTTCCTTGGTCTGATCTCATGAGGCCAAAACAAAAGATTCTGCGCAGTGTTGCATTGAGGGTACATTGACATATCTACGCAGCCAAAGTCCTACCAATGCTGGGCAATGAAATGCAATGAAAGATCATTGGATCGGCTCTCTGCATTTACAGCAGCCAAATGTCTGAGGAGGTAGTTGACGTTGTTAACAATGGCCACCATCCGGCAGACACCTCATCATCTCTGTGGTGGCGGTGGTGGCAGTGGTGTCGATGTTGAAAGCAGTGGCAACGAACCTATTGTGTTTAAGAGTTTTCTTTGTTGTTTTTCTTTTATCTCAATTAGAAGGAAAGCAATGCCGAGAGCACGAGCCTAAAAGAGACTAATCTCTGAATTTCCTATATGAATAGGAGAGTTTCCTATTTTCTTGACTCTTATGAATATTTTATGTTGTTTTGGTTGAGTAGAGAGCTTTAAGAGTGTATTAGGGTAAATGAGAAAGTAAAACCATTGTGTTTTGACATTAATTTGTTTGTAAAGTTGTGCTAACCATTGGTCTGTTCCAGATGCAAGAATGTACGAAAAGTACTAAATAGTACTAGATTTGGTACAATTTGACAATGGGTGAACGAATAGTGCTTGAAATCTGAAATTTGGTATTAGGATCGCCATAGCCTGCACATATGGAGGTGGTTCCGAAAATGTCCACTATAATTTTACGAAAAATACTGAATGGTACTATATTTGGTATTAAGCGAAGGGATAGGGCTGAAATTCTCAAATTTGATATTAAGGTCTCTGTTGGTACGTGGAACTGAGATATGCAGGCGGTTTTTGAAATATATACCATAATTATTCGAAAAGTACTAAATGTTACTAAATTTAGTATTGGATGAGGGAATTGAAAAAAAATCTGATATGATATGATTTGAGCTGGAATTCTTAAATTCGTCATGGAGGCCACTATATAGCTTTAAGATAAGGATTTGGAAATGCGTATTATGATTGTTCGAAATGTACTAAATGCTACTAAATTTGCCCTTGTGTGAATGGATAGGGCTTGAATCCTAAAATTTTGTATTGAAGTCACTGTTGGTTTCTAGGATTAAGATATGGTTGTGGCCAAATTTATTATGCAAAGATGTTGAAATAGTTTTGGCCATAAAATTTGACAATTGAAAAATCATTTTTATACACTAAGCCGTATGGCTAGAGAGATTATCCCCCACAAAATGCCAACATTTTCAAAGAAAATAATTTACTGCACAGAGAGCGAAAGGATAATCCAATTTGCTACAAATTTGCAAATCCTAATATTTGCATCAGTGTTAAGTCTAAATGAAAAATGGACAATATCGGTCCACTCCATCAAATACCTCCCACACAAAGGGTTTAACTTTCGAATAATTTTAACTCTTATAAAATGCCCGATTGTCTTCAAATTACACACATCACAATATTTTTATTAACCCATGGTCTGGTGTGAAGATGGAATATATCGGCAAACTCCTTCTGGTACCCAAACAAAGGGTCAAAATGTCAAGTATTCATGAAACTCATAAAAAGCGAAATTACCACCAGTCCAGTCAGACCTAGCACATTTCAATATTTCTATTAACATAAGATGTGTTATAAAGATGGTAGAGATCTGACCATTCCTTCTGGTACCTCTCCACATCTCATTATTTCTACAAATATAAGATCTGCTGTGAAGATGATTTATATCGATAGACCACTTCAGGTACTTCCCCCATAAAGGGTCAAAATTTTGAATATCCATGAAGCTCATTAAACATGAAATTAACATTCGATTCCATTCAGACTTGGTACATCTCAAAATTTCCATCAACACAATATAGGGTAAGAAATTTTGAAAAAAAAAACAAAACGGCCAAAGAAAGCGCAATAAGCATCCAACTCTCTTCAAATTTTATACATATAAACATTTTTACTAATAAAAGATCTGTTGTTAAGATGATATATATCTGCGAACCCCTTCTGGTATCTCACCCACAAATACGAAATGGACAATATTGGACAATTCCATCGGAACCTACTCCATAGAAGGACAAAAATTTGAATTATCGTAACATAGGTAAAAATATTTTTTAATAATCGAACACTGGATGGGGGTATACATCTGCCGGCAAAACCGACCGATACTTTATAATTTTGAAAACCCTCCACCATTTGGAACGAATTTGGCAATTTTCAAAAATATAAAATCCGTTAAAAATTCTGTTAAAATCTTAAACATACCGAATGTAGCCGTTATATTAGGATCTATACGACGATGTGGACCTGCATAGGCAACTTTTGTCATAAGCCATTACAAAATTCAAATGCGGAACTTGAAAAAAAAAAATCAGTGAATAATGTAGCTAACATCATCAAAATATGGAATATAGGGAGGTGCCGTTATTATATTGGTTCTATACGAAGACGTGGACCTGCACAGACAATTTTCTGTCTTAGGCTGTAGTATCCTTTACGAACTTCAAGCACCAAATTTGAAACAATTCCGATGAATAATGTCGCTAAAATTATTAAAATACCGAATATAGCGAGGTACCGTTATGTGGGGGCTATACTGTCTTATCCATTACGAACTTAGCTTAAATCAAAATACCGAAAAAAGGAACTTCAAACATCAAATTTGAAACAATTCCTGTGAATGATGTCGCTTAAATTATCAAAATACCGAATATCCGAATATATTGGGACTATACCAAAAGTCCTGCTGACATAATAAACATTTGAGTAAAATTTTATCAACCTACTTCGTTTCGCTCGGAAGCAAGAGTGATTCCACAGACGGACAAACTGATAGACGGACAGATGGACCGTCATCGCTAAATCGACATAGAATTTTATGCTGATCAAGAATATATGTACTTTGTGGGATCTAAAATGTATATTTCGAGGTGTTTCAAACGGAATGACAGAATTAATATACCCTCCATACTATGGTGGAGGGTATAAAAACTTGAATATGTATAATTTAATTTTTCTTCCAATTAGAGCAGCAGAGGTCGTAAATTTTGAAAATTGAAAAGATAGTTTGGATGATGTCGTGGATCGGTTCGAAACCAAGATGACATCTTATGCACTATTATATGACATATCAAGATTAAAAATATATTTATGTTCGAATGGAGAAACATTATAATCACAACTCCAAACCTTTAAATTGGAATATAATTCTTTATATAGGCAACCCCTATATCTTATCTTTTTTTTTTTTTTTTTTTTGAAAATCGAGTGTATCTTGTGCTTTGGGGCACTTAGCGCTGCCCTGTTGAAATAAAATGTTGCAAATATTCTCCTCTTCAGTTCTTGTGAACAAAAATTCATTCAACTGGCCCGATAGCGATCGGATTGACTGACTTAATTTTCGAAGAAAATACCCCTATTATGCCTCTGGACCAAAATCCGCCAAAACAGTTAATTGGTTTTGGTGCATCCTTTTTTTAACGAATGCGTGCAACTTTTCTTTGCCCTTAATATGACAATTTTGCCTGTTTACATAAAGAGATGGCGGTGCATCTCTTATATTCTAGAAAATCTGTACACAATTTTTGCGCACATTCTGTAATATTATCATGATATTCAAACCATATTCGTTCAGGGGAAGCTCAGTGTTACCATTCACATGATAAGTATTAGTTGAAAAAAAAAAAAAAAAACGTTATAATGCGGGCAACAAAATCTTTGAAGATTCCCAAAAATGTTGAGTTTTTTTGGAGCCACTTGACCGGGGAACCTCAATTTGACTATTATCATTTTAGTACAGTCAAATTTGAAATCCTTACGTAATAATGACCCTTTTTTGATTGAATACTTTTACTCCAAGTTCCAAGTCCCTCATCCAGATTGGCTGTTGATAGATGCTACTAAAGGATAAAACAATTCTACATTTACTACCCTAATATACGACTACGTAATAACACATGCACATATTTACATACGTATGAAAAGGAACAACTGCAAACACACATGTGAGCACATTTCACAATGTACACGGATTTATTTTTAACCAGACACACTTGTTCCTTCTTGCGATGGCTGTGTGTTCCTTCTCTAGTTCGCCTGCTGCTCCTAATGCGATCCACACGACCCGTTATCAAAACACGCTGCTAGTGGTGGTATTGTAGTGGCTGCTGCCAAAAAAAAAAAAAAAACACACACAAATTTCTCACCATCTCTCTCTCTTTCTTTTTCTCTGTCACGATCGGATTTGTGCCTCCCGGACTATCCCTACCAAACCAATTGCTGTTGCTGCTTCCTTCTGAGACACGGCGACTATTTGAACTCTTACGTAGATGTTCTCCCAAAAAAAAAAAGTAAAGCAAAAAAGACCACAGTACCGAGCGCAGTCTTTTTTCAGATATGTAAAATGTAAGTGGCCGATTTGAAAATTGTTCAGTCCTTTACGAGATTTTCAACAGCAACAACGTGTTTTTTCTGAAAAATATCCTAAAAAAGAACGCTAAGAAGAACAAAACAAAGAAAAAACCACACAGAGAAGATTTGAATATTTTGAAGAGTGAAAAATGAAAACAGATATTGAATAAAGTGAATTTGTGCTGAAGAAGGTTATTTGCCGATTTTAATGAATGAGAAGGAGATCGTGCCAAAAACAATTTGAACATAATTTTTTTCCAATGTTTTTTTTTTTTTTTATTGAAAAAATATTTGTTGCCTTATAAAATTGCAAAATGTATTTGCATCCATGTGCCGCATGCTTGAAGGATAATCGAATTTTGAAAAACGGATAAATTTTGGAAATCGCTCAACAAATGAAAAAGGAAAATAACTTGATATTTTATTTGAAATTTAAGTGAAAAGGAATAACAAAAAAAAAAAACAATCAAAAGTGTTAAAGTGTGAACTGTCGGTTCCCCCGGCCTGCCCACCACCAGCCTGCCTCTCCCACATAAAACAATTCGGAAAATTTCAGCCACAGCTTCAATATTATTGACTGAATCATCGATCTATATTTACCTCAATATTTACTCTTCTTTATTTATTCTTCGATTCGATTTGTTGGAAACGAAATACAATTGTTGTTGTTTTTTTCCTTCCCAATCTGACTTTGTAGTTGATTTGTCTTTCAGTTCTTGGGGTAAGTTTTCTTTTTTTTTAATTTCATTTTAGATTTAATTCTTTTGAGGAAAATAATTGTATTTACATTCATTCATTAATTCATCAACATCTATATCTATAAAAGAGGAAAATGTTTGTACGTTTGTTTGTTTGTTTGTTTGTTTGTTTGTTTGTTTGTTTGTAATTTATGGACTCGAAAACTGCTGAATAGATTTTTCTGAAAATTTCCATATATACTGCAACATCGCCTGAAAGTAACATAGGCTATATACATTTTTGAATTTCCACTTGGAACTGGAGATATAGCATCAGAATCGGAGGTACCTCCCAAAAATTTAGATTTTATATGCACATATCTATTGATCGGTTAAAGATACAGTCTCCAAATTTGGAATGTGTAACGGAATTTGGAACAAAAATAAGTTTGGTAAATTATATTGTAATCGGTTCAGATTTGGATATAGCTCCCATATATATTTTCGACCGATTTCGTTCATTTGATGCCTCAAACACAATATGAATGTTCCATTCCAATGAAATTTGGAATATGTGACGGGATTTGATCCGAAAATAAATTTGTCAAATTATATTGAAATCGGTTCAGATTTGGATATAGCTCCCATATATATTTTCGGCCGATTTCAAGCATTTGATGCACCAAACACGCTATGTATCCCCAATTTCAATGAAATTTGAAACGTGTGATAGATTTTATCTAAAAAAAAATTATTTCCCAAATTATATTGAAATCGGTTCAGATTTGGATATAGCTCTCATATACATTTTCGGCCGATTTCATGTATTTGGTGGACCAAACAAGATATGTATGTCCAAATTTAATGAAATTTAAAATAAGTAACGGAATCGGGAGCAAAAATGAATTTTTCAAATTATATTGAAATCGGTTCAGATTTGGATATAGCTCCCATATATATTTTCGGCCGATTTCAAGCATTTGATGCACCAAACACGCTATGTATCCCCAATTTCAATGAAATTTGAAACGTGTGATAGATTTTATCTAAAAAAAATTATTTCCCAAATTATATTGAAATCGGTTCAGATTTGGATATAGCTCCCATATACATTTTCGGCCGATTTCATGTATTTGGTGGACCAAACAAGATATGTATGTCCAAATTTAATGAAATTTAAAATAAGTAACGGAATCGGGAGCAAAAATGAATTTTTCAAATTATATTGAAATCGGTTCAGATTTGGATATAGCTCCCATATATATTTTCGGCCGATTTCAAGCATTTGATGCACCAAACACGCTATGTATCCCCAATTTCAATGAAATTTGAAACGTGTGATAGATTTTATCTAAAAAAAATTATTTCCCAAATTATATTGAAATCGGTTCAGATTTGGATATAGCTCCCATATACATTTTCGGCCGATTTCATGTATTTGGTGGACCAAACAAGATATGTATGTCCAAATTTAATGAAATTTAAAATAAGTAACGGAATCGGGAGCAAAAATGAATTTTTCAAATTATATTGAAATCGGTTCAGATTTGGATATAGCTCCCATATATATTTTCGACCGATTTCAAGCATTTGATGCACCAAACACGCTATGTATCCCCAATTTCAATGAAATTTGAAACGTGTGATAGATTTTATCTAAAAAAAATTATTTCCCAAATTATATTGAAATCGGTTCAGATTTGGATATAGCTCTCATATACATTTTCGGCCGATTTCATGTATTTGGTGGACCAAACAAGATATGTATGTCCAAATTTAATGAAATTTAAAATAAGTAACGGAATCGGGAGCAAAAATGAATTTTTCAAATTATATTGAAATCGGTTCAGATTTGGATATAGCTCCCATATATATTTTCGGCCGATTTCAAGCATTTGATGCACCAAACACGCTATGTATCCCCAATTTCAATGAAATTTGAAACGTGTGATAGATTTTATCTAAAAAAAATTATTTCCCAAATTATATTGAAATCGGTTCAGATTTGGATATAGCTCTCATATACATTTTCGGCCGATTTCATGTATTTGGTGGACCAAACAAGATATGTATGTCCAAATTTAATGAAATTTAAAATAAGTAACGGAATCGGGAGCAAAAATGAATTTTTCAAATTATATTGAAATCGGTTCAGATTTGGATATAGCTCCCATATATATTTTCGGCCGATTTCAAGCATTTGATGCACCAAACACGCTATGTATCCCCAATTTCAATGAAATTTGAAACGTGTGATAGATTTTATCTAAAAAAAATTATTTCCCAAATTATATTGAAATCGGTTCAGATTTGGATATAGCTCCCATATACATTTTCGGCCGATTTCATGTATTTGGTGGACCAAACAAGATATGTATGTCCAAATTTAATGAAATTTAAGATAAGTAACGGAATCGGGAGCAAAAATGAATTTTTCAAATTATATTGAAATCGGTTCAGATTTGGATATAGCTCCCATATATATTTTCGACCGATTTCAAGCATTTGATGCACCAAACACGCTATGTATCCCCAATTTCAATGAAATTTGAAACGTGTGATAGATTTTATCTAAAAAAAATTATTTCCCAAATTATATTGAAATCGGTTCAGATTTGGATATAGCTCTCATATACATTTTCGGCCGATTTCATGTATTTGGTGGACCAAACAAGATATGTATGTCCAAATTTAATGAAATTTAAAATAAGTAACGGAATCGGGAGCAAAAATGAATTTTTCAAATTATATTGAAATCGGTTCAGATTTGGATATAGCTCCCATATATATTTTCGACCGATTTCATGTATTTGATGCACCAAACACGCTATGTGTCTCTAATTTCAATGAAATTTGAAATGTGTAGCGGAAATTAAAACAAATATACATTTGTCAAATTATATTAAAATCGGTTCAGATTTAGATATAGCTCTCATATATATTTTCGACCGATTTATGCACCATACACGATATGTATGTTCGATTCCAAAGAAATTTGGAATATGTAACGGGATTTTGATTAGAAAATAAATTAGTCGAATTATATTAAAATCGGTTCAGATTTGGATATAGCTCCCATATATATTATCCGCCGATTTCACATATTTGATGCACAAAACACGATACGTATTTCCGATTCTAACGAAATTCGGCATGAGTGGCTAAATTTGGTACAAAAATAAATTTGACAAATTATATTCAAATACGCTCAGATGTGATTATAGCTCCATATATATACTCAGCCGATTTCACATATTTGATGCACCCAAAGCGAGAGAGACAAAATCTGGCACCAGCAAAAATTGCCAAATTATATTGAAATCAGTTGAGGTTTGGATATAGCTAACATATATATTTCGGCCGATTTCATACATATTATGCACCAAACACGATATATATGACCGATTCCAATGAAATTCAGAATGTGTGGCGGAATTTTGTTATAATAATAAATGTGATAAATTAATTGGAAATTAGTTAAGATTTGGATATAGCTCCCATATATATATTCTCGGCCGATTTCACATATTTGACGCACCAATTTCAATTAAATATGAAAGGTGTGGCGGAGTTTGGTGTAAAAGTAATTTTTTTTAATTATATTTAAATCGGATCAGATTGGGATATGATTTTAATAAGAACCATTGACCCACAACGCCTTAGGCTAACACTAAAAAACAACACAACAATTTATTTGAAATACGCTTATTACGGCGAAGTATGTTGCTATCTCGAATTCACTACTTGCAATAGAAATGCCACTCTACTTAAAAAAATTGCAGTTTCCTGCACGCTTGGTATTTGCTATGAAATAAATAAATCCAAAGGACAAACCCTTCGTGTATGTATGTCATGTTACTGCTTTTCTAATGGTTTTGGTTATTTACGCCTTAAATTAGTGCAATATTTTTTTTTTAATTTTTAAATTTGTTTTTCTTTATCCAACATATATTCGTAAATAAAATTTTGAATGCATATAAAATCAAAAGGGGTAGCGAAGCGCACCGGGTTCAGCTAGTTATCTATATACATATATCACAATTTAATTTTATAAGTTTGTAGGTATTTTTTTTATTGAAACAGTGAAACCTGTTTATAGTGAAATTAATTTTTATTAGTCTTTACTTTATCATATGCTTTTTTAATATGGGTATATCACGCATTTATTAAATTCGTCGTGCTTTATAGCCACATCCATCTGTTAACGTTTTTTTTTTCACTGACACGCAAAATATATTTATGCATTTTCACACTAAAATCTTTGCATAAATTAATCTCTTTTGGATTTTCTGACCAAGGTGGTTTTGTGTTTTTCCGCAGTTCTTCGTTGTATAATTCATTCATTGCTAGTATTCAAAACATATGAGTCATTCCACAATGTTATGTTCTTGTGAAATTGAAATTCAGAGAAAAGTTTTTTGAGATATGTTTTATCGACAATAGTGATTAAAGTTTGGGAATTCTATGGGAAATTCAGGAATCTTATTTTAAATGTATAACTACCAATTAAAATTTAAAAACATATTTTGTCATTTTGAAATGATAAAATAGATTTTCATGGCTCATTAAGAAAAGTCCAAAACCAGTAAGGGAAGGCCAAAAGTCGGGCGGGGCCGACACCCTACACCACACCATATTTAGTAGAGCTCCTGTAACAAAAGAATTTATTTGAAGTAGATCATACCACCTATCAACAGAGCAGAGCAGTTAAAGTTTGGTTTCAGAAGGAGGCATATCTAATTCTGAATCGATTTTCACTAAATTTGACGGAGACGTGTTTATCTTTTATACCAAACAACGAGAATGCGATGCTTTTTTCGCATTTTTATGAGAGTTATAATTATTCCTAATTTTTACTCGAAATTCACTCCATTTGTGCTGATTTTAGCTATTATCTGCACAATAAACCTGAAATCCAACCTAATAAACCTATATCCAAATCTTAGCCGATCTCGATAAAATTTGGCAAAGGTATTTCCGAGTTCGATAAGATATCTGATACCAAATATCATTCTAGTGGAGTTCATATTACGAATGTGAGGGA